CCCCCCCCCTCCAAAAAAAAGAACAAAATTTCAGATAGAACTTTGTAAGTCTGAGGTAGCGAAAGGTCGGTGGTTGGGTGCAAGATGCCGACAAATGCCACAATCATTGCAATATGGCGTTTGTCAGATTCTTGCATCCAGCCACCGAAGTGTAAAGTGTGAGTAAGAACTCTGAATGAAAATGCAACCTGTTTTCTTGTGTGTAAGCCTGTACAGGTGTGTTTGTATTTTTTTAAGTGCTCGCCTGTGTGATGCAAGGGGTGTTGTATTGAGAATAAGAGTGTGGCAGAGAGAGGAGAGACACTTTTTCATTCCTTTCTCTATTTTACTGACTGTGGATTTTATGTATTCTGTAGAGATGGCTGCAATTTTGAGGTTTAATGAATATTCTTTTTGTTCGTACCAGTAGTCTTGGTATTGTTATTCAAAAGCTTAATACTGGGTACAAGACTGCAAACCAAAGGGCTGTTGTATTATTACAAAGGGACATTATTAATTTTTTTTTTTTAAATATGAGAAGACTTTTTTTTTTTTTTTTTTTTTTTTTTTGGTCGTATTCCTTTACTTTCAATCTTTAACCCCCGCGGGGCGGTGCTACTGACTGAAGTGTCTTTAAGCCAATCCCAAAGGGGGGACATTAACATCTTGAGTTCTTGTGCTCAGTGGAATTGTTATTTTAAATGGGCTGATTCATCAATGTCATGCTCATAACTATGCCTAAACTGCAACAGGGAACTGCTGCTTTTTCTTTTTTAATCCTTACTATCGACATTTTGCCTCTATTTGTTTTGTATGTTGGTCACACTCTTGTTCCACTATTTCCGAGGTGCCTTGATAGTCAAAGCAAAGCAGACCTTGTGCTGTTGAAGCTAGAGAGGTGAGCACAGTAAGTCTGATTCCCTGTCAGGACTTCTCTGTTGACATCCACCCCTTGACGCTCAGATGACCTTATGCAATTGCGAGCGCCGTAAAACCTCTACTAAAAAAACCGAAAAAACTTTTAATCTTTCAATAGTGAGGTGTTTACGAAGGCATACAAATAAGACAAAATCATATTATTATTCATGAAAGGTAAAGAACAAGTCAACTACTTACTTCAAACAAACAACCTGTTGCTGTTTATTACATCACACTGTCCTATTTTTGAGCATGGGTGAGTGCATTTTGATCAAAGACAGTCTAGTAAACACCTGTCTTATAGGTGTTGTGAGATTGTTTTCCATTACTAATGGAAATGTGATGCTCTTGTCTCATTTTGCTTTCAATTTTGATTGACTTTTCAGAAACTTACGAAAGCTCAAAGAATAAAACAAGAGTATTGCCTGTGTTGTGACTTAGGCTTCAACGTCTATTTTGTCAGGTATTTTGTTTGTTTATGTTTATGCCATAGCTTCCCGTAACCAGCTTTAACTCATTCCTCATTCGCTACGCCGAGCCGTGGGGGGCGGCGCGGCTAAAGTGTCGTCAGTACGCTAAGCCGCCCCCGGCGGCTCGAGAACCGATCCTCAATTTTAGCTTAGATTCTATTCCAATCCATATATCCATGTTAAAATAAAGGTCATATATAATGTTGACTTCCTGTTCAAGCGTTTTTCCACCAAAAATCGGAAGTTTTGATTCAGTTTTGAAACACGATTTCGAAGTGTATGCGACTTTGTTTTATCGCGATGTTCAAATTATAGCCCACACACCAGTCTTACACCCTTTTCACAACAAAATACATCATTATTTTGCACACCAAAGAAATGTAGGACTCTTCTTTAGAATACTGATACAAATGGGCTCAAATTGCCACTGTTCTGTTATTGAGGAATCATTATTTTTCAGTGCTAGATCTAGATCTAAACTGTCATATTATTTTATTCTCCCAAAAATCAATATTTTTGTGAAATTACACAAAAAGTACCACTCAAGACATGTGTAGGTTTATTACAAATACGGTTCTGAATAATTCCATACACGACACAAGTGGTTTTTTTCTGTTTGTGAAGGCATCTTGTCCATTTTTCAAGATTATAAAATTTTTAATTTTTTTTTTCAATATCGGATGTCAAGATCTAAATGTGCAAATTTTATGGAATGTATATAAATAACTGCAAATTTTTCAATATTTTCCAGTTCTCTATTCATTTATGGTGATTTTTATGTATCATTTGACTAGGTGTAAACATATTTTTTGAGTTTCACCGAAGATGATTAATTTTTTATTTTCAAATTTTATCCGCATCCAAGAAAAATTGTGTTGCATAATCGCCTCTTACAGGAACCAAAGTTGAAAAATACACAAACAAACGTTACAGATGTATTCTACAAATCATACTGAAAATTTCGGTGCATAATATGTTAATATTTATTTGAATTTGTGGCCCCGAAGACCTTTGAACTGCGCACTAGTCATCATCTCATTTCGCCTTTCCGAAAAAAATTCGTACGCAAGCAGAAAATAATATGTAGCGAATGAGTTAAAGAAAACTTGTACATTTTACATAAAGAGTAATTTTTACATAATGAGCAGATTTCCAGTTAAAATAGCTTTCTCATGATATTAACTCACTTCCTTCATATCATATTTCTTATTGCTATCCCTGTGTGCCAACCATGTCAATGTGTTTTTTAAAAAATCATTGTGACTCAAGTAAATGACTTGAGTCATTAATATAATACCTGTTGTAATACTGCAGTTTATAAATTCTGAACTCCGAAACTTCAGGGGCTGCAGCGGATGTAGGCAGTTGAAACGGAACTTTGACCGCAGTGTATGTGGTGTTGGTTGGCAGTGAGTTACAACTGTTATTTGTTATGTATGAACTTGTGCAGTTGCAATAAATAAAATCTCATTCAAAGGTCCTGGGTTTGAATACGGGTTGCCACGGAAAAATTTGGTCTCTAAAATTGTCTCCTTTCCCCTCCTTTACTGCCCTCTAGCAATGTTCTGTCGTCTGCTTTCGTCTCAACTTTTTGCCCCCACCCCTTTACCTCCTTTGCCCCTTCTTACTGCTGTCTTTCAGCCACTCTCCTGATCTTCTGGTAGGAAAGATCTACACCTAGCCTTCTTGGACAAGGGCGAAAAATCTCGGAGGTCCCTAGTGCAAGTTGCGTATGTTAAAAATCCCATGGTTTTGTTCTAAAATCTATAAGACTGGGCTTCAGTTGCCACCCGGGCAAAATTCAAAATTTCCTACCAACTGAAAATGTTAAATGTGTCCCGCGCGCTCATATCACCAAATTATGCAGTTCGGGTGTTTTAAATATTTATGATGTGCTCGACTTACTGTCTGTTAAAAAGTACCATTATATTTTTTCAGCAATGTGCTGTGGAACGCGGGTGCTGCCATCTACATCGCTTTCGGCCCCGAGTTCTTCCGATCGGTGGGACACTCCAAGATGGAGGCCTCTCTCATGCTCACACTCTTCGGGCTGGGGGAGTTTGTGGGAGGGATTGTAGGAGGCATTGTGGGTAATATCCCCAGTCTGAACCGCCTGGCCATCTACGTGGGCGCCTGCTCTGTGGGTGGGGCAATGGTCTTCCTGTTTCCCGTCTCCCACTCTCTGGCTCTGACGGGCGTGCTCAGCTTTTTCTTCGGAATTTGCTTCGGCATCTTGCTGGGTTTGCTTATCATTGTGATGACAGACCTCATCGGCACGGACAAGATCGGAATTGGCCTCGGGTTCATTCTCCTCGCCGATGGAATCGGAGCGTTTATGGGGCCTCCAATAGCAGGTTAGACGTTTTTGTTTTGTTAAGCAATGTTGTAAGACTTAAAATGTGACTTTGTAAAGGATTTTAAGTGAACTTGTGAAGGTTATTGCAACTTGCAACTTTTCACTGACTCTGTAAAGTTTATTTGTACTTTTGAACAATTTGTAAAGGTTATCATTACTTTGCAAGAAACTGTAAGGTTATCATTACTTTGCCAGAAACTGTACAGACTAAAAGTAAAAAATCCTTTCAAGCGAATTTGTAAAGGTTGTTTTATATATTTTTCAGGCAGCCGGTATTTTCACGACATGTCGTGGAAAAAAAATCTAAGTGCATTTTCTCCACTTGTTTTTCTCTTTGGACCAATCAGTGAACAGCTGGGTCATGCCACTTATGCCGGAGGGCATAGACTCTCTGCCCTCTACTGGCCATGCCTCTCTCTCTCTCTCTCTCTCTCTCTCTCTCTCTCCCCTCTCTCTCTCTTTCTCTCTCTCTCCCTCCCTCCCTCTCTCTCTCTCTCTCTCTCTCTCTCTCTCTCTCTCTCTCTCTCTCTCTCTCTCTCTCTCTCTCTCTCTCTCTCTCTCTCTCTCTCTCTCTCTCTCCCAATAAGAACAACGGATGCAAATCCCCATCCCTTCGAAGTGGGACGAATTTTTAAAGCGTATCGTGAGTTTGAGGAAAAATTTCGTAAGAACTGCAGTACAAAGTAGGTTTTCAGCAAAAAGTCCTCGAAATCAGTCACCGCCAAGAATAACACAATGAAAGACGAGTCGAAACACTACCCGGCGGTGTGACAGTACTTCAAGCTCATCCTGTTCTTGATAGACTTTAATATTATGGAAGCTATGACAGCATGAGCAGAGACTAAGTCTTGATTTTATAGTTTTTTGGTGGTATATTTATTTTATTTGTAACATCAATTTAGGGGGTTGAAATCATATATATACAGATCGACGTTTTCATTCTAGGTTAGATCTTGATTCTTCCTTACTTAGTTAGAGATCTAGGCCTTATACCCCTTAAAAACTAGAATTTAATCCCCAGAGCTCTCTAGTCTATCTGGCTAAGTGGTGAACGATTGCTGGCGAAGGCTAGACCTAGAATCTAGGCCTACTCAAGCCTACTGTGACATATACTTAGATCTACCTGCGAATTGTTTTTTTTAACATGTTCTTGAACTAGTAAAAAAGCTCATCTTCAAGAGACGTGAAAGTAGAGCTCAGAACGATGTAACATACACAACATGAAATGGGCTTTTCTATTCAGTTTGTCATTGCATTCCTAACAGTAGGCTACGCAAATCCTGGAACATCAATCCTAATGGTGCAATCACCAAGCCTATAGATTCCATGCTTTCATTTTCCACCATTGTTTACGCGTTTGATTGTCAAATGCCAAATCCAGAGCACAGTTTCACTTTTTGAAAAATCATTATTTTGGTAGCCGTTATTTTCACAACCGAGCCACACAGAGGGACAATGATCGAGTGCGTGCAAATAGGCCTACAACTTACTGCAGAGGTTTAGATTCTATATCTACCGTCCAAGAAGCTAGAAAGGCATAAGTTACCCCCCCCCCCCCTCTCTCTCTCTCTCTTCAAAGTTTTTAAAAACTCACATTGCGTCCTAGATGATGATACAGCAAGTAGGCCTACAGAATTTCAGGATGTAGATCTAGGCCTAGGCTATGGGTTTCGCAAGGGAAAGTTGGAAACACTCTTGGCACCCATCCCAAAATCCGGTAATTTTGACACCTTAATCGGAATGGTGATAGAACACAGGTTCAAAATCGGAAACTAGTTCTAGATCTAGATGGACCCCCCCAAAAATGTGTATTTTAGCTAATAGGCCTAGGCCTAGACCTCTGAGGTAAGAGCCGGTTTGTCTTCGACATGTCATGAAAACACACATAGCCTTTTTTTTTCCGCGACAGGTCGTGAAAAAGTGCCTAAAATTTTTTTCTTCGACATGTCGTGAAAATACAGGCTGCCTATTTTTCAAGCAAATTTGGAAAGGCAATTCATACTTTTTAAGCCATTTTGTAAAGGTTATTCATACTGATCAAGCCACTTCATAAAGGTTATTCGAACTTTTCAAGTGATTTTGTTTCCTGTGCCTCAGGTGTGTTCCAGGATACATTTGGCACATATGAGCAAGCCCTTTATTTCTCCGGCATAGTGACCCTGACGGCTGGGGTGATCATCGCACTTATACCCTTGCATCAGCGGATGTGCAATGAGGATGAGGTGAAGGCGGGAGCAACTGATACTCCTCCTCCTTCCACACCCAGTCTGAAGAAGTACGTGGAAAGGAAGCGACTCTCAGATGTTGCTGTGGAGAGGGGTCGAAGGTCTCTGTCCGTGAAGTCGTCGGGAGCGAGTTTGAAAAGCATGGAGGGGGATACGAGTCCGTCTCGCAACAGGAAGTATGTTGTGGCGAGAATGAACAGCGGGAATGATGAGAATAGCATGCCTCAGTCAGATCAGCAACCTGTTAAGTTTTACTGTAACAACGTCGTTGAGCTACAGGAAGTTGACCTTCATCCTGCGGAGAGTGGGCCCGTGCCAGTGACAAAGCCACATGATGTAGGACCTGTTGCTGACACGACAGTGCAGGGTTCTGGGGGGATGTATCAAGCCGTGCCCACAGAGGGCAGCGGTAGTCCCGAACACAAGGCTTCTTGGGATGAAAAGAAAGACAGCGATGTAGTGTTTCATGATAATGACCTAATTATGTCCAAAGAGAGTGGGAAAATTTCAGTGCGATTTTGAACAGTGGTACAGTAGTCTCCGTCTAAACGCACACCATTCAATTAAGACACACTCTGCTCCAATGCATGCTTTCACCATTGGACAGGATTTTTAAACTATAATTCAGACGTGCAAATGGTCGCTTTTATGCACAAGGGGGCTATCCCGAGAAATGCTGTTTTGAGAAAATCAAAGGTAAAGTTTTTGCCCCTTGTTCATTTTCTTCAAAAGACAAGTAGAGTTTTCTCTATGACCAAACAAAACATACCAATGAAACCAAATTTCTCCTATAGTTATAGGCAGAGCAATGCCCAGTTTTGGTGTAGGTCAAGATTTCTGGAAACCCCTGAAATCTGGGTTAGCCTGCTTGTCCTTAAAAGCAACCAAATACACAGTCACTTCCTCTAAACGCGTGTTTTGATCCCAGAAACACACTAACGGGTGAAGCCTGACAAAGAGAAATAATGTGTGCGACAACCCAGCTTTACAGCTTGCATCAGGATAAGAAAATACAAGTCTAGACCACCGGATACTTGGTAAGGCTGTTCCTCGTGTAGCACAATGGAGGTGATGGACTGTATGATCACACCTTGCAGATATATTGGACTGGGTGAGTGATGTGGTGGGGGGGGGGGGGGGGGGGGGGGGGAA